TATATTGCGTTATTTTAATCTATCTTCGCAGCTGGCGAGGACCGATGTACGATTCTCGTTTGAGTCCAGTACCACAAAGCCAGGTTCACTCTTTAAAATCACGTAAATAAACTATATTTTAACACAAACAACATTCTATCATTTAGTAGAGTTGAAATTTCCCTTTAAGGACCTTACAACTACAATATGGTCAGCGTGTGCTGCTTACAACAAAAAACGTTATTTGCAGGCTTGTTTTGGGGTAAATATAGGAATTTTCTCGAATATAATTACCATAGAATACCCAACTAGGCCCAAAAAATTTGCCTAGTCTCCCCAAAATATCAGGCTGCTATCTGGCAAGCTGCTATCAGGAAAACTTTGATGATGGTCAGCGCATTCCACGTTTGACAGCAGCCCGCCTGCAAGACAGGCAATCCGTTATACCGAACTGTGACAAACGAAATGTTCTTTTATGTAGCTGGACATATTAAAGCCTGCAGAACAGTTGAGATTGGAACGATTTCAATTCGTGATGATTCTTCAAGTTTTTGAATATTGCAAATTCTTTTTCCAAAATAAATAGTAACTTTTAATGTTATCCAGCTAAGCTAACTGTATTAAGGTACCTTTGTTGCATGAGCTGGTAGTGTTAAACATCTGCAAATAACAATTGGTAACAAAATATTGCATTAAATAACATGTGGGCTACACCTTAAGAATGTCTTAGCTTAAGTAGCTCTAGAACCTGACCTCATGGCACATTTTGACATCACGTTGAGATTTTGGCCGGTAAAATCTGCCGAAGATATTAAAATTACGATATGTTTCGACTCACAGAAAATGATATGTAAATGTTAACTTGATTAAAATTCACAATATGATATGTATTCGTTACGATCTCCATTAATTTCTCTGTAATACTGAAATATCAGCACAAACAATTCTATGTACAAATTATATTTAAACAACAAACTATCTCATCGAGAATAATATCACATCGAGCAATTTGGTTAAAGGCTTCTTTTGCCAACGAGGGGAAATTTGCATGAACTTCCAAATATTGTTTATCTATGGTTTCATGTGCCGAGCTGAACATTAGACTTCCTTAACGAGATTTCTACGGCAAGCCGCCGCCTGCCAAATACATGTTCAGACTTACAAAAACCTAGACTAGCAGTGGTTCAAACTCTTTAAATTTGGACCGACGAGAAGAACGTGTATGAGGTTTCGTAGGCCTTTTTTTTCCGATTTTGTGTTTGGGTTTCAAAGACGCTTCGATCAATAACCCATCTCCTTAAAGTAAAACATCCCCATCGACCGGACCGCCGCGCGCGGCCTCGGGGGCCCGGCCGGGCAGGGCGGGCCACTCGGTGGGGTCCGCCGAGGTGAACACATGGGAGGCAGGCGCTCTGGACGGACAAGGCTGCCGGCGCGGCCAGCGCGAGGGCAAGACAGACCACAACAATTTCTTTTCTCCCGCTACATTTTTTTTGCAAACATGCCTACGAGAGTGCGCTGAGGCCCCTTCCCCCACCCCTCTGCCCCGACTTGTGGCAGCGGTGGCAGCGATGAGCTATTACAATGGAAGGGGGGGTGGGGGAGAAAAAATATCTACCCCATGCCCCAGGCCTCGTCTTCGGCCGCGGGCGGGGCGGTGTAGCCCCCATGGGAGGGGGCGGCCGGGGGGTCAGGGTCACTCCTCGGGCCAGCCAAGGTCCTGCCCCACCAGGTCGTAGAAGCGCTGGTTGTGCTCGGAGAAGAACTTGCGCAGCTTGGTGATGACGGCCGGGTCGACGCGCGGGTGCCGCCGGCCCTTGGTCTCGCGCAGGCACTTGTCCGCCGTGTCGTTGCGCAGGCAAAAGAAGCCCTTGGTGTGGTTGAAGTAGAAGTTGTGGCGCCCTATCCGGGGCTCCAGGCCTGCGTGACAGACAATGGCGTTGTGAAAGCAGTACATTCAGGATATGGGCTAAATCACTCAAAAATAGGAACTTGTAAAGTCAGAACTTTTTCCGGAACAAAATAGAAAACAATATAAATTCCAGCAATAAAACTTAGGAGATTTAAAAATTAAAAAAAACACAACAACAATTTATTCTTGAAAAGAAAATGTTTTCATTTTTCCGCTTTTCCCGAAAAAGTTTCCAATATGAAATTCCCTAGGCAGGGAAGGGCCGCCCTCGTCACCTAAAAACTGCTCGATGCGGCGCAACTCGGGCACCGGGTCCTCGATGAGCAGGTCGCCGTTGACGACGAGCAGCTGGTCGCGCGAGAACACGTCGAGCCAGCGGTGCAGGAAGGAGTGGTAGAGCGACGTGGACAGCGGCCGGTAGGCCACGTTGACTGTGCCGTCGGGCTTGATGGCCAGCTCCTCGAAGGAGCGCTGCGGCGCCTGGCCCTGGCCGGGGACGGCGGGCGACGGTGAGGGCGACGCGGTGGCCGCGTGGCTCCGGAGCTGCGTGTAGTCCGAGATGGCGCGGGTCACGGGCTCGCGCACGATCAGCAGCAGCTTGACGCTCGCGTTCATCGCGCGCACCCTCTCCGGAACCTAGACAGAAGAAAACAACAAGTTGGTTTTCCTTCCTAATCCAATATTCACACGGTATAGTTTTTTTCTTTCCCAAACTAAGCCTCCACTGACCTCGGGCGTGACGAAGTAGCTGGGGCTCTTCTCGATGGTGACCTGGTGCGGGAACGAGTGCGGCATCTTCTTGCGGTACCACTCGAGGCCGCGCGAGTAGTTGTCGTCCCGGTCGAAGAAGTGCACCTCGCCGGCGGCCTTCTGCACGCGCGGGTGCAGGAAGAGCATCTCGAGCAGGGCCCGCGTCCCGCACTTGCGCACGCCGATGATGAGGCACTGCGGCAGGCGGCGCGACGTGCGCGGGAAGCGCACCCGCCCCACGTCGGCGTCCTCCTGCTCCTCGAAGTGCAGGTCCTTGTCCACCTCGTTGGTCCGCACGTCGCCCGCGCCACTCACGATCGTCACGTCGCCCAGGTCGCCGGCGGCGCCGAGGTCGCCGCCCGGGTCGTCGGGCATCTCGGCGGCCGTCGACGACATGTCGTTGGACAGCAGCATGGCCTCCAGGCGCGCCTCCTCATCGCTCAGGCCTGCACAGGGTAAAGGGAACGTACGTTACAGCAACATGGCGGGAAAGCTTCTCCGCCATCACCGGACCGGGGCTTCCGCCTGTACTTACCGTTCTGGTACTGGATGGTGTACACGGCCGTGTCGTACTGCAGGGTGACGAGCAGCGCAACCAGGACGCACGAGAGCATGCAGGCTGCGAGCCGCCCGCCCCAACGGCACCAGCTGTCCACCGCCGACCTCATCACACCTCATCCCCGCCTGCAAGCACACCGTGGTTAACACTCTGCGCAATTAGTGCACTCGCACCAAGCGGACGGGCGCCGGCCCGCTAACGAAGGAGAGCGCCGCCGTCAGTGGCGCTCGTGGCGCTGCGACCTGCCGAAGCACGGCGCAGTCACCTCGTGTCAGTCCCGCTACTAACGCGACGCTGACGGCCTGGCCTCGAGGAGCACATGTCCTACACTCTTAAAAAAATTAATACAAAAATCTGTAATTTGGATGTGCAGTTTTTTCAGCATCCGTGATACAAAAAATTGTATTCTTTTGGATACAAAAACAAATTTGTAATACGGATACAGAAATTTGTATCCATCGATACAGAAGAAAATACGTTGATGTTCAATACTCCGATATGAAAGAAAAATGTTTTATTCCTGCTGGTTGTCTCATTTTAGATGTTGCCCACACATGACAGGCAGTTAACTTCAAAGTTGTACCTTACCTAACCGGAAATTGAACCCCGAACCTCTGGGTTGGAATGCGACGCCTTAGCCCACACGGCTAAGGCGACTACCTGCGAGCAGTCGTGCTCCGACCCGGTGTCATTCTTCTCCACGTCTTGGCTGGCCCCTGAGCCTTCAGAGCAGTACTAACTAGTACTGCTCTGAAGCCTGAGCCTTTCTCTTAGCTATCAGGCTATTAGATGGGATTTATATGTGAATACTTTGAAAATAGATTTTATGGTAGATGGTGCTAGATTCAGTCTAACTGCTCACATATCGTGTTCAAATTGAACGTTAAAACCGCAAAATTTTGAACGCACGTACAGATATCTGTTTCCATGTTACAGAAATTTGTATCCCGTTTACAGAAATTTGTAATCAGATTACAGAAAATTATAAAATGAA